TAAAGTGGGAAAAATGTTATGGAGGGGTAGTAGGTAAATTTGGGGTGCCAGGGTAAATGAAAAGGGGGAAATTTTAATTGAGCTATGGGGTAGAAAGAAATTTTGGGTAATAAGTAATACATATTTTATGAAAAAGAGGATAAATAAAATAACAAGGTATGATGTAGCACGTAATGAAAGTAGTTTTTTTTAGATTATGTATTGGTGGAAAAAAAGGTTGATGGGTAGGCCCCAGGATGTACATTTTTAGAGGGCAACTGATAATCGGATCATTTTTTATTTTGCTACAGTTAAGAAAGAGGAGAGGGGGAAAAGAGGAAGGTGGCAAAACAAGAAAAAGGGAGGTGAAAATGCATAAATAAGGGGGGAGGAAGTTCGGGTAATTAAGCGACTATTGGCAGAAGGTGGGGTAGTGCAAAGATGAGTAGTGGGGGGTTGAAGAGGGTTGGAATAGTTTTAAAAAGCAGATTAGAATGTGGGGCAGAAGTTTGTGGTTATAGGGGGGGGGGCAGGAGGGGAAAAAGGATGATTGGGGGAATGATGAATAAAGGGTGTGATAAAAAAGAAAAAGGTAGCTTGGGGGTTTTACAAAGCGAAGGTTATAAGAAAGCAGAGTATATGGAGAGTAAAAAAGGTAAAGAGAGTGGTGAGAGAGTGCAAAAGGAGGAGATGATGAGTGGGGGAGGCATGCAAGAAATTTTAATAAAATAAGAAAAAATTTTTGGAGTGAGTTAAACAAGTTAAGAAAGCCTGGGAAAAAAATGGGTTTTTCAGTTAAAAAAAAGGTAGGGGAGTTAGTAGATGGGGGAGATGGAGGTTTGGGGAAAATGGCGAGAATATTTTAGGGAAATTTTAAAAGTTAAGGAAGAAAAGAGGCAGTAATTTCATGCACTGGTTCAGGGAGGATACCATCTTTTTGGAGTGAAGAAAAGCAGAATGTAAGTGTGGGGGGGGTACGTGAGGCATTTCGTAAAAGAAAGGGGGTAAAGCATGGAAAATGATGGGATCATGACAGAAATGTTAAAAAAAGGGGGGGGGTATAGTGTTGGGTGGTTGGTACTTTTGTTTAATAAATGTATGAAAGAGGGAAGGTTCCTAGGGGTTGGGGAGAGCATGTTGTCCCTTTAAATTTAAAGGGAAAGGGGACAAAAGAGACTGTAAAAAATTTTAGAGGAAAAAGCTTACTGAGATACCAGGAAAAAATGTACGTAGGGTTATAATTGAAAGAATTTTGAGGGTAAGACAGAATGTAGGATGCGGAGAGCAAGGGGGTTTAGAGTGGGGAGGGGGTGTGTAGATCGGTGTTTACTTGAAGCTTATTGAAAAGTATTTTGAAAAGATAGGGAAGTTTTTTTTTGCATTTATGGATTTAGAAAAGGCATAGATAGAGTATAGAGGAGCAATGTGGCAGATGTTGCAAGTATATGGAATAGGGGGTAAGTTATTTAAAGCTGTAAAAAGTTTTTATGAGGATAGTGGGGTCAGGTTAGGGTTGGTTTGAAGAGAGGGAGACAATTCCCGGGAAAAGTAGGTCTTAGACAGGGATGTGTAAAGTCACCTGGTTGTTTTAAATTTTATAGATGGGGTTGTAAAGGAAGTAAATTTTCTAGGGGTTTGGGAGAGGGGTGGGTTAAATTATGGGGGAAACAAATTCAAAATGGGAAATTGCACGTTACTTTTTGCTGATGTACTGTGTTATGGGAGATCTAAAGAAAAATTGCAAAGGTTGTGGATGAGTTTTGGGGAAAGTGGAAAAATAAAAGTTGAAAGTGAACATAGAAAAGAGTAAAGGGGATGGGGTGTCAAAAGATTTAGTAAAAAAAAATTGGTATCAAAAATTTGGGGAGGAGGAGTATGGAAGAAGTGAATGTTTTCAGATTTTGGGAGTTGAAAATGCGGCGGATGGATTTATGAAGGATGAGGGTTAATTATAGAATTGATGAGGGAAAAAAAAGGGAGTGGGCGTAGGTATAGTGGAGTCAAAAAACGTTATCTAGGGGGCAAAGAGGGGAAAGTAGAAAGTATGTAGTACCAAAAACTTTAATGGGTGTGAAGCTTGGGTGGGAAAGCAGCAGGGAGCGGGTTTGGGGCAGCGGGGATGTCCGTTTAAGGGCAATGTGTGGGGGAAAAAATTTTCAAAAAATTCGGAGTGGGAAATTAGGAGAAGGTGTGGAGTTAATAAAAGTATTAGTCAGAGGGCAGAAGAGGGGTTGTTGAGGTGGTTTGGTCATTTAGAGAGAATGGATCACAGTAGAATGACATGGAAAAGCATATAAATCTATAGGGGAAGGAAGGCGGGGTAGGGGTCGTCCTCGAAAGGGTTGGAGAGAGGGGGTAAGGAGGTTTTGTGGGAAAGGGGGCTTGGACTTCCAGCAAGCGTGCGTGAGCGTGTTAGATAGGAGTGAATGGAGACGAATGGTACTTGGGACCTGACGATCTGTTGGAGTGTGAGCAGGGTAATATTTAGTGAAGGGATTCAGGGAAACCGGTTATTTTCATATAGTCGGACTTGAGTCCTGGAAAGGGGAAGTACAATGCCTGCACTTTAAAGGGGGGGTTTGGGATATTGGCAGTTTGGAGGGATATGTTGTGTATCTTTATATGTTTATGCTTCTAGACTGTTGTATTCTGAGCACCTCTGCCAAAAACAGTGATAATGTGCGAGTGTGGTGAAAGTGTTGAATGATGATGAAAGTATTTTCTTTTTGGGGATTTTCTTTCTTTTTTTTGGGGCACCCCGCCTCGGTGGGAGACGGCCGACTTGTTGAAAAAAAAAAAAAAAAAAAAAAAAATATTATATATATATATATATATATAATATATATTATATATATATATATATATATATTTATATATATATTTTATATATATATTATATATAGGATACGAACTTAATTCGTTCCAGAAGGCTGTTCGAGTGCTGATACCAAACAAATTTGTTCCCATAAGGAATAATGTAAATTAGATTAATCCATTTCAGACCCACAAAAATACACTTACATAAATGTTCGAGTTTTGAGCAGTTCGTGTCCTGAGATACCACTGTGTGTATATATACATACATGTATACAGTGGACCCCCGCATAACGATTACCTCCGAATGCGACCAATTATGTAAGTGTATTTATGTAAGTGCGTTTGTATGTGTATGTTTGGGGGTCTGAAATGGACTAATCTACTTCACAATATTTCTTATGGGAATAAATTCGGTCAGTACTGGCACCTGAACATACTTCTGGAGTGAAAAAATATCGTTAACCGGGGGTCCACTGTATTTTTTTTTTCAACAAGTCGGCTGTCTCCCACCGAGGCAGGGTGGCCCAAAAAGAAAGAAAATCCCCAAAAAGAAAATACTTTCATCGTTCAACACTTTCACCTCGCTCATACATAATCACTGCCTTTGCAGGAGCGCTGTGTACATATAATATAGATGGGGTTGTAAAGGAAGTAAATGCTAGGGTGTTCAGGGAGAGGGGTGGGATTAAATTATGGGGAATCAAATTCAAAATGGGAACTGACACAGTTACTTTTTTGCTGATGATACTGTGCTTATGGGAGATTCTAAAGAAAAATTGCAAAGCTTAGTGGATGAGTTTGAGAATGTGTGTAAAGGTAGAAAGTTGAAAGTGAACATAGAAAAGAGTAAGGTGATGAGGGTATCAAATGATTTAAATAAAGAAAAATTGGATATCAAATTGGGAAGGAGGAGTATGGAAGAAGTGAATGTTTTCAGATACTTGGGAGTTGACGTGTTGGCGGATGGGTTTATGAAGGATGAGGTTAATCATAGAATTGATGAGGGAAAAAAAGTGAGTGGTGCGTTGAGGTATATGTGGAGTCAAAAAACGTTATCTATGGAGGCAAAAAAGGGAATGTATGAAAGTATAGTAGTACCAACACTCTTATATGGATGTGAAGCTTGGGTGGTAAATGCAGCAGCGAGGAGACGGTTGGAGGCAGTGAAGATGTCCTGTCTAAGGGCAATGTGTGGTGTAAATATTATGCAGAAAATTCGGAGTGTGGAAATTAGGAGAAGGTGTGGAGTTAATAAAAGCATTAGTCAGAGGGCAGAAGAGGGGTTGTTGAGGTGGTTTGGTCATTTAGAGAGAATGGATCAAAGTAGAATGACATGGAAAGCATATAAATCTATAGGGGAAGGAAGGAGGGGTAGGGGTCGTCCTCGAAAGGGTTGGAAAGAGGGGGTAAAGGAGGTTTTGTGGGCAAGGGGCTTGGACTTCCAGCAAGCGTGCATGAGCGTGTTAGATAGGAGTGAATGGAGATGAATGATACTTGGGACCTGACGATCTGTTGGAGTGTGAGCAGGGTAATATTTAGTGAAGGGATTCAGGGAAACCGGTTATTTTCATATAGTCGGACTTGAGTCCTGGAAATGGGAAGTACAATGCCTGCACTTTAAAGGAGGGGTTTGGGATATTGGCAGTTTGGAGGGATATGTTGTGTATCTTTATACGTATATGCTTCTAAACTGTTGTATTCTGAGCACCTCTGCAAAAACAGTGATAATGTGTGAGTGTGGTGAAAGTGTTGAATGATGATGAAAGTATTTTCTTTCTTTTTTGGGTCACCCTGCCTCGGTGGGAGACGGCCGACTTGTTGAAAAAAAAAAAAAAAATGTGCATGTATAATGTATACGTATTAGAGTTGATTTCCTCTATTCTGTTTATTTCAATATACAGTACATTACTGTATAAACATTTAAAAATATACCAGAAATGTTATAAATGGTGCAAAGGTGACATTAAAACAATATCAAAGATGGTTGACACAAACTCACTACCATTATCTCATACTCCTCACTTAGCGACGAATTCATTTAACGATGTGGTCTCAGAAACAGAGCTCCGTAGTTAAGTGAGGAGAGGCAGTATGAGTACAATAATTTCAATTTAACCCTGAAATTACTTGTGTACTGTATAAACGTGAATGCTTAAATTTCAATTCTAATTCTTGTAAGATTTAAGACTTTTCTCTTATTTTAGCAACTGCTGTCCTCGTTGCTCTTCTTACTACCAGAAAGCTTTGGCGATAGCATGTGGAGCCGCAGCTATGCTTGGTCTGTTTGCTGTTCTTTCCCTTTCCAATAATATTGGTGATCGCCAAAAAGGTGAGTTTGTAACTGGTTCAGGAGTATATATACAGTGCCTGTATTAGATTTTATTTGTGTATCTTGCACTGTAAGTTAGCTGCATGTAATAATTTTCACTGGAATTTTATCTTCAAAATGGTACCTGTAGCGAGTTTAATGTTTGACGAGATGGTAGAACATAAATGTGTACCTTCTCTTTAGGTAAATTAGTTTTGTAATAAAGGTTATTTGTAGTAGTACCTGAGATCCATGTATGATGTGAATATGCAGGGAATAAGGAGTGTAAAAATTTGAAGATAGTCGATGAGTGGTTGAGACAGTTTGTTCATCTAGAAAAGACAGAGCAAGAGTGGGTGATCACAAGACTGTAAACTTTGGGTGGATAGGAATTGTGGGGGAACATTCCAGTGAAAGTTTCAAATGGTAGAGGTTTGAGTGTGCAACTCTGACCCCTACCATTGCATCTCACAGCTCCAGCTTTTGTGGTACATCTATTCTCATACATCTCAAACCCATACAGTCTCTATACTTAAGTCTTAAATGTATGATTGTTAATGACCTATGAATTTGTTAATCAAGTGGAGATTAGTAATTTTGTGGTTATGTTTAACTATAAGGTTAAATTTGGAAAATTAGGCAGCTGAAATTAAGTTCTGGATTTGAGAAATACAGTACATACCTGCATGGTGAAGGATGTTTGGAGGCTCATTTAAACTGGCGAGTGTTTATAGCTTTGGGGTCACTGTAATTGTAGTCTGCAATAATCTTCTGAAACTAAGCTAAGTTTCAGTTGTTGCTTACAGTGAGCAGATAGTCACCAGAAAGTTTCACATTGTGGAATCAAGTACCATTCTGTCAATCAAACCACCCAGGACTATTTGATATAATGTATATTTTGTATTTTGTGAGCATATTTATAAATATATTTCATATACTGTAGGGAAGAATGCCTACACTTAGGACACCTTTACTGAACAAATTTCAGTCCTAGGACTTTGATCGTGTATTTGAAGTGATCAAGGTCCTGAAACAAACTTGCAATAAAGGTGTCCTAAATGTGTAGATTTTTCATTTCTCTCAGGTAGTCAGCAGTCATTTGTCTTACTATTGTAGAAACCTTTTAAACATGCATGCACATAAAATAAAACACTAATTATTTTAGTGGTTAAAAATAACGGTGTGTGTATTCTGGTGAAATAGATTTATCTGTTTGATCTGTTTGCCTTGGATATTGTTTGTTACACACTAACAAGTGCTGTATATGTAGTGTATGAATTGGACCTTTGCTAGCATAAAATGAGATTATTGTTGAATTTCTATGAGGGATATTTCTGCTGTTGTATTCATTACTCTTATCTACTGACTTTGGTAAAATATATAACTAAAATGGGCAGTGCTATTGAGCAAAGTTCCAATTTATGAAATCCCCAAGAGTTTGTTTACAATAATAGGTTGGTTTTACTTGACACTTTATTCTTAGGTAATGTGTCAGATGACTGTGCCCCTGAACATTCAGAGAACATTGGTGCTGATGAAGACACTCAAGGGAGCACACCATCTTATACAAACTCAACAATGTACACAATTGCATGTGTAGACCCATCAAGTGCAATGGCAGCTGCAAGTGTTGGATCTGTAAGGAGTATTTGTGATGGCTTTGGTACAGAGAAACAGGCCAACACTACAAGTGATAATAACCAACCAGGGTCAGAAGGTGAAGGTTTTCTCTAGTATATAAAGCATGGGTCATACTAAACATACATTTTAACTAGCAATGTTTCCTTATAAGAAAGAGCATTGGTTTCTAGCTACAGTGTATATGGAGTTATGCTGATTTCTCTTCCCTCATATATGTAATAAAAATTATAATTGGATAATTTACATTAAATTACTCAAAAATAAGTTTCTTGAAGGGATGTTCTATCGATGCAATGCAAAACTGGGACACACCTAGATGCATTTCATTCTGTACATGGGAAACCCACCATTCTTGCATAATGAAATGTTGATTATTTTTCCATGGTCTTAAATTATAGGAAAAACAAATGCTCTCTTGAAAGGATGGGTTGCAGCCACACACTGGTTTAACTTTGTCATGAATTAGTAACTCAAGCTTTAGAAAACTACAATCAAAAAAGGTTCGAGTATAATTCCATTGTTTAACAAAGATGGTACAGGTAGTTGGATAATGCAGATATACAAAAGGTGAATTGAGTGTTTTTGAATACTGCATGTCTTGGAAACAAATTTTATTTGTCGATACATTTAAGTGGATAAATTATTGCACTGGTAATAATTTAATTGCTTGTGTGTGTTACATTTTAACAAATTAAAATAGCATATTTTAAAATATGTTTATTTTAGTCATCATTTTCTTATGTTGAACATTAGTTATCTGTTTCTTTAGACCAATATACAGAAGTATGATATTAATGACATGATAGATCTAATCTTTTAACCCTTGCACTGTCGGTGACGTATAGGTATGGCTTACAAGTTAGTGTCAGTGACATAGTAATATGCCAAAATTCTAGTGGCTTCAGATCTAGTGGGAGAAAGCTGGTACACCTACATGTGAGAGAATGCATCTGTGTGGTCAGTGTGCGCAGTATTAAAAAAAAGTCCTGCAGCACGCAGTGCACGAGAAAAAAATCCGACTTTTTGATATAAAACGCCGACTTTGAGGTGTATTTTCGTATGGTATTTATGGTTGTATTCTCGTTTTCTTGGTCTCATTTGAGAGAATGGAAGATATATTACAGAAATAGAGATGACTGATTGGTTTCATGACGAAAAGTACCTTGAAATTTAGCTCAAATTAGCGGAAATGTTTGATTTTTGCCAATGTTCAAGAGTAAACAAATGACATCACCATCAAATACGTGTCCAACTGGTCAGTCCAATACTCAGTCACGAATGGGGTGACATTATTTATACAATTACAATAATGCAGTAGTCTGCATAACAGTAAATCTTCTATTTTTTATGTGAATAATAATTCAAAATGGAAAGCAAGAGTAATATGAGGGACCTGGAGACATGACTAATGAACAGAGAAAATGTTATTTTAGTGCCAGGAATGTCTGCATTGTTTATTCTGGACCCTTTTTTTGAAATTTGTGTGAAATTGGCCAAATTGCCAATTTCTGACCCCTTTATTGGGTAATTGAAATCAGTAAATAGGCAGTTTCTTGTACTCAATCAATAGAACAAATGGAGTTTTAGCGAAATAGCTATGAGTTTGGTAGATTGGAACAAAGGAATTGGCCAAAACTAGGGCTCAAAGTAGGTGAAATTGCTGATGCTCATATACCGCTGAGACCCCTAACTTTGCGAGAGCATAATTCTTTGAGTTTTTTGTCAAATTTTGTAATTTTGGTGTCATTACCATCAGGAAAAGATTCTCTATCATTTCATAAGATTATTTTTGAAAATTCTTTGACACTGAGAGCAAGTTTATGAGCAGGGGTCTCGACAGTGAAAGGGTTAATAACAAGAAATTAATCATCCAAGAAATTGGAACTACCCTTTTTTCCATGTGTTGTATGACCCTTGCACATTCAGTGCTTCCAAATTTCACCATGCATAATAATAATAAATGGGAAAACAGTATAGTGGATAAGTGACTCAGACTCAGATACTTGAGTTTTGAGCCAGTGACCGAGACAGGTCTGACATCAGTCTGACTCATAGTAATTTAATCTCAGTGTATATTATTATACTGACAAAAGAACTAAACCCATAATGGTTTTTATGCTTTTTCCACTATTTACTGCTGTAATATTTTTTTTTATAATTGCTTTCTTGTTAGCCCATCAACCACATGCAAATCCATTTCATGTTACTATATCCAAATTCTTAAGGTGTTTCTTTAGTTATAAAATATGAAAATGCTTACTAGAATAAAAAACAAAATTGCTTTTAATTTTTTTTTTGTATGACCTTGGTTTACCACTTTACAGAGTATGCTGCTGTTCCACAAGGTCTGCGAGCTCGTGTATCATCGTCTTCGTCGTCCTCTGACAGTGAAGATGGTGCTGGTGTGTCTGTAGCATAGCTGAATAATGCAGGATAGCATATTTTATTATGGATGAAATGGATAGTTGTGATTATTAATAGTGTACAAAACTGCTGGATATTCACTAATGGATTATTATTTTGCTAGAAAATTAAGCACAGTAATATAACTTCATCTCTGCAAGTGAAGATATATTGGTTATAGAAAATTAACTTTCTTCCAATAAATGACTTTTTAATCCATCTTGTTTTAAAGGTTGACCAGTGATATATTATCAGGTTGTGACAAACATATTGAACTTTTTAATGTACTATACAAGAGGCTGCAAAACAGAGTAGACTCTTCATGATTTAAAAGCACTCGAGTTAATTTATTTAACAAAAATTCATAAATCTAATATATAACAAATAATATAAACTGAAGTGTGTTTATCATCATTCACTTTTTCTTTTAGTCTTAACCCCTGATTATTTGGAATAGAATGAACTGATGGAGGAGAACCTTGAACTTTCACAAATATAAAAGTGTTCCGATAGCACAACATACCATTTATGTTTAACTTAGAATTTATCTGAATGGATTATTCACATTATTATTTCAGGCTAATAAACTATTCTGAATTATTGTAGGTATATTACTCTGTTCATGTTGGTCAAAGATACTTAGCAGTGAAATTTATTATACAATGTTTCACCCAAACTGAGGCTTTAGAAAATATAGTACTTGAATAATACTACTATGGATGAAAAGTATAATAGCAGAGTTCTCTGCTAAAAGTATATTTGAACTTTCCAAGTTGTTAGTGTTAAGAAAAATCTTGAAATGTGTACTTTATATTATACAGCAAACTCTTAGCCAAATGAAATTATCATAATATATTGTGACAATGTTACTCTTTTGGGCTTGGTGTTTAGTTTATATTATTTGTGATAATGCATAATAGTTTATGAAACCTTGTGACAAGAGCTGTGTTACCCTTTTGGGTTTAGCACTTTAATTTGATTATAAGATAGCATTATGTAGTGGCAATAACAGACTTAACATCTGGATACACTGCAGGAAAACACATCTGCAGCCTTTGATGTCTTATGTTGAAAATCAAATTAGCACTGACTTATAGCTGTATAACCCTTATGGGATTAATGCTTCCTCGTGGATATAATAATCAGTATAAGATACAAGTTTTATAACCCATATGTGCTCCGGTTCCCTGAATTGAGCCTGAGTACCTTCCATCCCTCCCACATGTGCTGTATAATCCTACAGGTTTAGCACTCCCCATGATTGTAATAATTTATAACTCATACACAAAGTGTTTTATTTCAGATATAATGTTCTGTGATAAACTAATGTAAGAGTACAGAGGTCCCTCGAGTTACGATATTAATCCATTCCAGAAATATCATACCTCAACCCCCAAAATACATGGGTTTATGGTAATTTGTTTCAGATGTCAGAACGCAGCCAACTTGCCATTCCCCCCAAAAAATTTTCCAAGTACGTCTGCCTTTTATAGGCTTATGCCCAGGCAAGTGGAAGGATACGGCAGGGCAGGCCACAGCAGGCTATCAATCCATGAGATAATGAATTTTCCCCTCCCCCCCCTTATTCCAGGATGGTTTTGTTTCCTTTGTGATGCTTCCATCTGGTATGAATGTTCTAAATTTCTGCTCTATCTTGGTAATTTTTAGTCAAGATTATCGTAACTTTATTGTTACACTCACTTTCGGGTGTTACAATAAAGTACATTCTTCTATGTTCTCTTTTTGTATTTGATCTTGTAGGCTTCCTCAGCGGTACATATTTCAGACATTGTTTCTGTATTCAACTTTTAGATGCACTGGTGTGAGTTTGTGAACCTGTTATATTGTTAGTACTGTAATGTCAGGCTGTGAGATATGGAGGCTGCTGTATCTTACATTGACCATGTGACCCAGTGAAAAGCATCTCATGACCCAGTATTGGATCACAACCTGTACTTTGAAGAACCCTGTTCTATTGATCTAGTGTGTAGACATGTGATTTTACAAAAGGATGTACTGGACACTGACATAACCTATAAAACTTGTTCTCGTATCTTGGTTCCCAGTATAAAATACACAGTACAGTATTTACATGTATGTACACAAATCACAACAGACAGAAAATCAAGCTGATAGATCTGTTATGTATTGTCAAATGCTTGACAATGTAAAATATTTTTAGATTTTCTTTTTATGCTTCTACATTACGCAAGATTATGCTTTTATTGCATGTAGATAAATATTTGATTAGGTTTTAGTGTATTTTGTACATGTCTTGTTAGTGGACTTTGAAATATTTTATATGAATATTTTTTTTTTTTGCCTCTTAATATTTATTTTCCAGAACTTCCCTCCAAGGAAGATGGCTAACAGGAAAAACCTCCAGGAAGTCTTATCTAAACATACCCTTCTTGTTTATTCTTTGTCCCATATATATGTCATGATGTTGGTTACCTGCTGATCCAAGGAAATGGAACTACTCTTCCTTGGATTAAGCCTGATTATCTAACATATGCTAGGTTCTATATGACCCCTCTGGGTTGTGCTTCCCCATGATTATAATATTCATCCTTCATACGAATAAATCTTCATAAATGTTTATCTTCACTCTCAACTTACACCTTATATTTGTCCTCTTTGATCCTCCATCTATACACTTCCCTATTCTTGTACCGCTACCCATTTAGAGAAATCAATACTGAGCATAATTGAAAAATCATCTAAGAATGATTTTCTTAGTGTCGGCTCTGCCTCCCATTTCACTAGGTACTGTATAACCCTATGGGTTTGGCATATTCCATATATGATGGGTCAAATGTGACCTAACATTTGCAGAGTTTTAACACAGAGTAGATGTTCTTGAGGAACATTTCCTCACATTCCACACGAGTCATGGCACAGCACACTATGAAAGACAGTGCCCTGTGCATGTCAAAACAGGTCAAGGAATGGCTGAGAGAACACTGTCAATGTTATCCCAACAGCCCTGACATGAATCCAATAAAAAATTGTTGGAATGAAATGAAAGCAAAGCTCCATTCAAAAAAAAAAAAAAAGGCCCATAAGAACAAAAAGAAAGAAGGAAAAATTTCCAGGCCTACGGGCCCATGCAAGGCTTTCCCAAGCCCCCCCACCGGGCCCCAAGCCAAGGGCCCCAACCTATTTCAGGTCTTTTTCCAAAAATTCATTTAAAAACAGGGCATCTGACTTATCACAAGCTATTCGGGCCCAACCCTCACCCCCACTCAGGGTTTTTAATCTGCCCTTTTTTAAAAATTTTTAAAACATTTTGGGCTTCTATAAAGGTGCTCGGGAATTTGTTCCCCATCCAAAACCTTTTAACCAAACCACTTCGGTCTTTTTTTTTCCCCTCAGACCGCCCCAAATTCCCCCCCCCTTTCTCCCCCCCCCCTATCCCATCCTCCCCATCCCCCCTTTTTTTCCTTTTCCTCCTCCTGCCTCCTCACCCCCCCCCTTTTTTCCCCCTTCCTTTTTTTACCCTTTTCGGATTTCCCCCCAACAGGCGCGCAATTTTTCCTAGTGGGGGAAAAGGGACCCCCGGGGTCGACCCCCTTCCCCGTTAAAAGGTTTCTTGGGGGTTGGCGTAGTTTCCCGGGGGAAATTTCTGGTTTCCCCTGGGGATGTCCCGATCCCTCTCCCCGGAACCCCGGGGGTAGCTTTGGTGTTTTTTGGGGGGCGACGGGGGATCTCTGGAAGCCACCTTTGGGTTCCCCGGGGGGGGTGTTTAAAGGGAGGTATGTTTTGGGGAACGGATATCCGGGCCCGCCCCCCTCTTTTTTTCCACCGGGGTAGCTCGGCAGATTGAGGTTGCTACCCCAAAATTCCCTTGGTTTACGGGCATGAAGGGTAGGGTATGGCAGGGGTTTCCAAATTGCGGCATCTCCCGCTACAGCGGTGTCGAGTCCTTTTTGGGCGGAGGGAGTTTTCCCCGGCCCTTTCATTCCTCCTGGGAACTATTCCCTCCCCCGCTCCCCCCCCTTTTTTTATTCTTTTTTTTTTTTTTTATTTTCTTTTCTTTTTCTTTTTTTTTCTTAAAAAAAAAAAAGAAAAGGGGATAACCAACCCAAAAGGCAGCCCTAGTCCATGAAACCACTACCCCGGGGCCCCTTTCTTAAATCCCGGAAACCCCATTCGACCCTCCCTTTTGTTTTTAGACCACTCTTCGGACCCCCTCCCTACCCCCCTAACCTCTTGCTGGTGCTGTTTCCTCACCCGCTTCAGGAACCGGGGTTTTCGACGGGCCCACCTTTCGATTTGTCTGAACTCCGCTCCCCTTTTGGGACTAGGGTTTCCCGGCTTCCCTTCCCCTACGGTACGGAAATTTTTTCGAATCGCCCACCCATTTCATCCCGGGCCCAAAACTCCGGTCCAAACTCCCAAAAACGCCAACGTCAACTCCTGATGATGCTCCGTCGTTACCTCCCATTCTACTCCGGAAACGCCGACACGTAAAGGGCCTTTTCCCCTTTTTTTCCCCACCTCTTTTTGGGGCCCACAAAAGGGACAAAATTTCCGTTACTTTAAACCAACTTCTTTCTCTCCCTTTCCCCCTTTTCTAAACCATAGTATTGCCAAAGCGCTCCTGCGTCATTTGGCAGAATATTTCTTTTCACCGCTTCAAGGGAAAACGCCCCCTCGTCATTTGCCAGAATGGCCCCCAAGCCCCATGATCTTTCCCCCCCTTTTCGAAAAACCTTATTTCCTATCACTATTGAAAAAAAACCCTTTCTCTCAATTCTTGTAGTGGTACGTCATTCTGCCCCCCCAAAACCATAGTCCAACAAAATTTTCCAGTCATGTGGAAAATGACATTTTTGAACAGCGGGAACTCCAGGATCCCCCAAAATCCTCAAAGTAACACTTTATTCCTTCCTGCCCGGGGGGGGAGACGTTACCCTTGCAAGGGGGGGCTCGTTTAACTTTTGACGGGCCGAGAACTCCCCGTCCTCTGTATATTGGGGGAAAATCGGTTAAAAAGTTCGAAAGGTGATACCTACAACCGAAAACCAATGAGAAATTGCGGCTTTTTGGGGTCACCCAGCGAAAAAAAATTGCAGATCAAAGGGCCGAACCCCAGTCTGGGGGTCCCGAAAACCCCATTCAAAATCTTGCAGCCCAACCCCCCATTTTCCCTTTAAATTTGAAAAGAAGCTCCCCTTTGAACTCCCCCCGCCGTTGCCGGGTCTTTTTAAATAAACGGAAATCCTTTGCCCCCAAAGGGGCAAAGGTCCCCTTATGCTAGGCAGTTACTCATTCCGCCTCCAAGGGAGACTCCCCCCCGGGTTTCTTTTTTCTCGGGTTTTCCAAACATCCCCCCACTTCGGGGGGCCCCCATTTCGGGCCCCGCCTCCTCTGTTGTTACCCCTCCCCATAGCCATTCGGAAATCAAATTTCCTTTTTGCTGCCCCTTGGGCTCTGACGTCCCGACTACCCCTCGCCCTGTTTCCCCACATTTTTCGCGCCTTTCCTCACAAGCCCCAGTATCGACAAAAACCTCGAACACACCTAATCCCCAATCGCCCCTCTACTCAGAATTCCAAAAAATCCACATTCCCTCAAATCTTCTTTGCCCCTTCCTTCCCCCCTTCCACCTCCCACACGTTCCCCTTCCATCTTTTGTACCGTTTTTTTTCCCCTCCTCTACTCTAACAACGGGGGGAGATTCACCCTCCTCCCTCGAAATATCCCTTTCCCCCCCCCGTCCCCCCCCAAAAGTTTCTCCCTTTTCGTCCCCCTCCCAGGTTTTTTTTACCTCTTCTGTCCCCCCCCACACTTCATCTCCGGGCCCCTTACCTTTTCCCTCCCCCTCAAATTTTTTGGGTACATCCTTTTTCGTCCCAATCTTTACCACCCCCCCTCCTCCTATCCCCCAATTTTGGTTTCCCATACATCTTTAAATTTCAGAAACACTTAAAGGGCCCAATTTCAGAATTTTTTTTTGCAAGACAAACCTTAAAAATGGACACTGATTCACTTCCTTTTCCTTCTCTTTCCCCTCTCCTCCATCTTAAACAACCCCATTTTTCCCAAACGCCCCCGTTCCTTCGCAAAGGGAACCCATCTTCCAATGCCCCCACACGTTGACATTTTCTAACCCCTTTTAGCCCGTAGGTCCTTTTAAAACCTTTACAAAACCCTGATTTTTACCCTTCCCCGCCAACATGGCCTATTTACAGTGGAAATCCGGGGCCCCAGGGGTAATCGGGGTAGCTTAAAGAGTTCTTTCCAGGTTTTCCCCCTTTTTGGTGCTTGTTTCCCAAGAACCAAAATTAAATTTCCGGCTTTTTTTCCCCAACCAAATCTCAGGCTAAAAATTTATTGTATTTTCGGATCCTTTCTAAAGAGGGGGCCCTTTAAAAATGAAAGTGCCCTTCTCAAAACGCAATGATATTCCTACTGTCAACTTTTTCCATACCTCGCTGCATTACACTCCCAGCCCGTACCCCACTTGAAAAAGGGTGGTTTAAAATAAGTTCTTTATACCCTTTTCCCTTTCCCTCGAGCATTTTCTATCCCAGATTTTTTGCCTTTCTTGTTTCATCCTTACCACCACCCCCCTTCTTTTATTTGGTGTTTTTAATGCCCCCCAAATTTCCTCGGGGGGGGGTTTCCTCATTTTTACTCCGGGGCATTCGGGTTGGGGAGGCTTTTTCCCTCCCCCCCCCTCCATTTTTTTAAATACGGGTACTCCCACCCATTTTGATCCTCGTACCATACTCTCTTTTTGCATCGATCTATCAGTCTGTTTTCCTCCACTGCACTAGCCCTTCACCTGGTCTTTTCAAACCAACTTACTTGACACGATCTTTTTTTCCGATCATTCTTACTTCCCCCTTCCCCTATTCCCCCCCTTTCCCCCGTAGGCCTCGCGGGCAATTTAAAAGGGGCCAAATTGGGATTTTTCCCTCACACCACATTTTTTTTTTAGTGGGGTTTTCCTTTTTCATCCCCCATTAAATGAGCCCACACATCTTCTCGCCAATCATTTTTAAAACCGCAGTTTTCTCTTTCCCTAAAACCCCACCCCCTCAGGCGGGCTTTCTCAGAAGTCGTGCCTTGGTGGTCTCCTGTTTTGTGCTCGTGCAGAAACCGTTTGAAACGTCTGCATGGGGCGGGAAACCCGGTAAATTTAAAACCGGGAGAGACTTTTTTAAATTTAAGCAGAAGGGGCGATCGCTCGCCGGTCCCCCGGGTGAAGCAAAACCCGCACTTGTTTGGCGAACTAGGGTTTTCCCCCCCACACCCTGCTTCTTCTATGAGTGCATTTCGGGAAAAAAGGGTGAAAAAATTTGAGTGGTAAATACTCTCCTAAACCCGGCTCCTGTTTCAAACAAACGGGCCCACGGTGTTTGATATAGAAAACCCCCCCTCGACGTTGCCTTTGAACTTGGCCACATCTGGCCCCGTTTTTCCCCCGAGGCCCCCTTTAAAGGCCCCTCTTTTTTTTTCCCAAAGTCTGCCAAGATTAGAAACCCTTGGACTTTTCTTCCTCTCGAGAAGAAAGTATAATTCCCCCTTTTACACTTCAAAACCTGGGGGCCCAACGCTCTCAGTTTTGCCGACATCGGCAGCTGGCCT